GGGGGGGGAAGGGGGGGACGCGGGCGGGGGACGAAAAAGTAGATGCACGCGTGACGTAATCGTGCGCACGAGTTATTCCTCGTTTCGAAATGAGCCAGAGAGGCACGACGAAAGAGAGATAAGAGACGCGCGAGAGGTCGTCGCGTAAATAGGTATTGTGTAATTTTGGAATTATTCATCGCGAAATGCATATATACGTGTGTGCGTGTGGGTGCAGCAGGCAAAACCCATAGCATACGTATGCTCGAACCGTTGGACGCGGGGGAAAGAGGAGGAAGAGGGAGGGAGGGCGGCCGCCGCCGCCGGAGGACGAAGGGAGGGGGGGAGGGTGGGGGAGGGGAAAGGAGCGGGATACGTCTAAGGTGGGGGAGCGGGAAGAAAATGGTTTTCTAACCTTGAACAGCTCCTTGAAGTAAGGGCTGCACGCGGAAAGGACGACCTTGTGCGCCTGGAGCCGCCTGCCGTCGCACGCGAAGGTAACGTCGACGAAGTCCTCGTCATCTCGCAGCGCCTCGAACTGGCTCGTGATGTTCGCCTGAAAGTTATTCCACCGCAAGCAAAACTGCTGCTGGCTATCCGTCATTCTCTTCACACACTCGCGACTCCCCTTCAACAACACCTATGATCACACATGTGGGGGGCTAACTTAGAGTACCATACGCCCGTGGGGAAAACTTAACTCTCTCATTACTGTAAAAATGTAAAATGTAAAAAGTGAATCGATGACTGAAGAGGAAACGTACGATATAAATAATGACAATCGATAACCAAGATTGCCAGCTATCGGGCAGAAAAATTCTCTAGGCGGCGCGCACGGCGGTCGCGCCTCGCGAAAAGCCGCGAGTGAACGGCGCGATTCGGTACTCGTCATCGTTTATTCTTCACCGTTCACTTGATTTGACAAATTTCTGAAAAAATCGTCCCGAATATATTTCTGCGGGAAATCGCTTGTGTTTCATCGAATTTGATTAATTTTAATAAATCTGAATAAATGTTCTTTTTATTAATTTACGCAACACAAACGTTCTTGCGTCATTTATACGTCCCTAAAAGTACACGAAGTTTGAAGATCGTAAATGTGAAACGTAATTCACACTTAGAACATGTATAAACACACTTATATACATGTATGATATAATAATTTTTTAATTCTTGATTCCGCAAAGTCTAGATTTGCTTTAAAAGTATAAGCCATATATAAGCTATAAATTGTAAGTGACGATATATCGACCAGAGAACTTACGCTTTCAGATCGTAAAAATTGGGTTTTAAAGTCACTTAATCTCTTTCGATTTACGGCTTAAGGCCTCTTAAAGCGAGATTGAGAATCGAGATAAATAGAAGTGATAAGCTTTAAGTCTTACGGAATTGACAAATTATAGTCGATTATTCTTCTCACATTTAGCTGTGATTGATTAATTTCTAACAACTCGCTACACTTCTTGGTTTTTACGAGGTAAACTAATTCTCTTCCGACGAACGAAAAAACGTATTTTGAGACGAATTGTTTTTGAATGCACCGCGCGTATCTATTCTATTAGATTATTAAAAAGTGCAGACGAAAGGTTGCAATTTCGGTGAGAAGTAAATTTCGATATTGTCAACACACGTAAATAATATTTATATATTTATATATAAACATAGAATTTGGCGGAAAGAATGGTTTTTTTATTACGCATCAAAAGCTGAATTTATCCAGAAAGTCAAATCGACGTCGATGTCCGTTTTAAATGCATGGGCGGCAAATTACGTCACATTCCGAACGAATTATTCCTAGACGGGGTAACTAGACACTTGAGCTGCACGGCGCATGCGCCGTCGACGCATGCGCGCTCTCGCGCCGGCTGTCGACACTGACGGCGAAGACGAAACGGGTATCGAATTTTCGGAAATAATAAGCTACATGCAATACAATGCTGCTTCGATCCCCGCTGTGAATACACACGTGCACGCGTGTTGCGTAATTACAAATGCTCGCTCGTAGGTATGCGTGCGACCGTTGGGAAAATATGGCCGCCACATTGCGGAAACAACAAGCTTGTTATCGGATATTATGATTGATGCTACGCGAATACATATATATAGATACTTATTTGAAAACAATGATCGGGAAATAAGAGGAAGAAAAAGCGTTTCGGTCGTTGAAAGAATTAAGAATGGCGTCTGTCTTTTTCGTTAACAAGCATATGTACAACATATATATATTTTTTGAAAAGAAATTGTTTCAGAATAAGCGTCGACACAAGTTTAAAATATTTCGCGAAAATATTAAAAAATAATTTCTAAAATAATCGTTATTAACATAAAATCATTATTAATAGATTTAATCGAATGATAAAATAATTGAAATTAATTAAAAATTATTTAAATCATAATATATATATGTATATGTACCTTTTTATACCCATCTAGAGAAATATTTATGAAATTCAAAATAAAGTATGAAATCAAATTGTTGTATAAATATACAACAGAGTTGTACTATAAAAATTTTAAATAATTTAATAGTTTTTTTCCAAAAGGACACTAAAAATACAAAAATCCTAGAAAAAATTTAATAAAAATTCTGCTTGAAAACACAATTAAGATATCAAGAGTATACTAGCTTAATGTGAAGTTAAGAGAAAAAGACCAGCAACATATAATCATCATGAAAGTTAATATTAATATACAACCAAGTTTTATAATGAATAATATGATTTTAATTTTTTTTTTTTTCAAAAACTGTAATACAAAGAATCCTACAAAAAGAATAATGAAAATTTTGTTCGATAGTACAATTAAAGACCATGTATACTTCAGTATGTTCGAGGTGAAACCGAAAGAGAACCGTGAAAGTTGATACTTGACATGGAATCGTTTGTATTTTCGCTTCATTTACATTTTTACATCTAAAATTAGTCATTTCCGATCAAACACATTGTATATTTATAGAGATTCATTGTAACTACGATTAAAGATCTAAAATTATCTTTTTATCGGATAAATTAATCAATTTAAATTTTGCAACATTATTATTTATTTTTTTATTGCTTTTTACATTTTCCCATTTTTATTACATAAGACAGAGTCAAGTATATATAAAGATAATGTACTTTAATAACAAAATATTGAATCATGGACTTACATGATTAATTATTATATTAACTTGAAGAACGGAAATAATGTATGGTTTTTGTCATATAATATGTTGAATAAAGACAATGCAGAGGAAATATGAGAGGAGGGGGAAAGAAGAGGGAGAAGGAGGAGAGAGAGAGAGAGAGAGAGAGAAAATAAGCATCTAAACTGGTACTCATAAGGCCTGTTCTTTTTCACTGAACTTCTTGCACGGTTCATCTTTTCTCTTTTTTCTTCCAGTGTGGAGAAAATAAGGAAGGAAGATGAATCGTGCAAGATCTTTAGCTAAAAAGAACATACCTATAATGGATTTTTAATTTAAGGACCATCCATAAGTATAATCTTTAAGACGTCACATACATATGTAACTCAATCCCACAGAATGTGCTGTATTAGTGTCTTAAAATATTAAGCTTATTTTACAATTTAATTGTAAAAGTAATTGGCTGCATGTAGTATAGGAGAAGCAGCTTTGCAAAATTCGACTTTAATATGATTATAGTCTTGCCCTTAATTCCTCATTGAATTTAATAGCGTATTCGATTTACTGACTCGACCCGACTCTGAGTCAACTGTCTGTTCTTTTTAGCTGTATTTCTTGCACGGTTCAGCTCTTCTCTTGCAGCTATTATAAACAGATCAGACCATTGACTCAGGAGTTGGACCGGGTGTCAGTAAAACGAATACGTCATAAATATATATATAAACCAATCATATTAAAGAATTTACTTTTATAACGATACGTGTTCAAATTTGACAGCTGCAAAGTATATCTTATTTTATTTTATTTTATTACTCCAAATATATTTTATAATAAATTGACGCAGAGGATATATTTACACACGGACAGATTACAAAAATTTTTATTTTATTTTTGATAAGGTATATATGACTTTTATATTTGTATTAGGTTTTAATAATTTGGACAGGGTTAATAAGACATTTAGTAGTTGAATTTTTAAACAATGTTAATTTTCATACACTTTTTATCAGGATCAAAAGATAAAAACACATACAAATACGAATGTTCCAATTTTATACACGGAATCTATGAATTTCAACAATATGAAGATTGTATAATGTTAATTTAACTTTAAGTAAAATTATTGTATCATTGAAAATGACCCGATCGGAGTCGAAACGTCTGACGTTGTATTAATATATGAATTAAAATAATTCGTTAAATTAATTTGGCTCCTACACACCCTAGTTATATATTATATCAAAGAATATTTTATAGCTGCAAACTGCTTTTTCTGCTAAACGCAGCCATTGCATTTATATAAAAACTGATGAATCACAGTCGAATGTTCTCCTCATGTTTGATTGATTAATCGCAACAATAAAACAGGCTTTATACTGTCTCGAAATAAGAACTCATTAAGAATACCGACTTAAAAACAAAAAAGCGGTAATTGCGTTTTTTTTTTTTTTTTTTTTTTTTTTTTCTAATCTCCTTTCCGTCAATTGTAAAATTGGGTAGGAAAAGCATCCGATTCATTGTCGTCCTCTAGTAATAATACCGATTCAAAGTTCCATCGACGGAAACACGCGCGGTCTTATCACACAAATCTTTAGTCACGATTCATAGGGTATCAAGGTAGGACGCGCTCGGATCGTAAATGGCTCGTAAAGCGCCTAACTTCAGGCAAACGGCGCCGAGTGTCGTGTGCGCATCCCGCACGCGGATCGCGTATAGGCCTCGCGATTTCGCATCCTATATTTAACGTGATACTTTCGACTTCGGGTCTGCCGTGACGACGACGACGCGGCCACCGCCTGGCCGCCACTCTTGGCTCGTGCCTACGTCTCGTTCGTTCGTCCGCGCGCGTCCTTCGACTCGCTTCACGTCGCTCGGTCCGCTCGCTCGGTTGCTTCTGCTCGCGGACGCGACGCGCGGGAGTGTAGGAGTGTGTACGGTGTGCGCGGTGTCCCGGTGTTTCACGGGGAAATGTCAGTGACGTGAACGTGCACGCGGCAGCGTTGACGCGTGTCTCCCTGTATCATCTTCTCTCGAGCAAGAATGTGCGCCAGACATCGACGCACGGTAAGCGATCGAATCCGCCGTCCCGTCCCGTTGCCGTCCTGGCGACCGCGAGGACGTGACGCCGTCCTTTAACCTAATTCCGTCCAAGTTCGCGCCGGAGGTTACTACGGGAATAATTCAATCGATACATTAAAGGAGCACGGTCATCGTTGAATCCCTTCACTCGAAAACGTCTCGCGATCCGCGCCCCGTACGAACGTAGGTCGACGGCATGCGTCGCTGCGATTCTCGCGAGCAGCTCAACAGCTGATCTAATCCTCCCGGACGGTCGTCCGAATCGCTCGCGGGCTTTTATCGTCCACCCCGCCTGTAAAAGCACTCAGGGAGGGGCGGACAGGTGTATCCGGGACAGTTAAAGTATCTAGCTGTAATCGCGCGTACCTTGTACTTTGCACCGAGTATTTCTCTCTCTCTCTCTCTCTCTCTCTCCGAGATATAATATCCTTATAACCTAAAAAAAAGCGAAAGATAAACTCCGTGATAAGACTCTTCGTCACAGGCTCCGTTTTTTTCTCCCCCTCCCTGCCGTACACCTTTTGCTTTATTTTTTTCTTTTTCCAGGATTTTTCCTGACATTGTTCAAGCGACATATAATTTCTATTTGACTTGATTTCTGTAATTATGAGTTTGTCACTGCAAAAACTCTCTCTTATTTTAAACACAATGTACTTCTCACGGTTATTTCTCACAGAAATTACATTTGGACGGAGTATAGATCTTTGCCAAGTAGGACACAATGACACGATAGCGAATAATAATTTGATGATAAAGCGAACTGTACATTTAGCAGACAAAGGATGACACACGCAACCATGATAAGAATTGCATATCTAGCCAATTTTACAAAATGAGTGATTTCTTTGATATGATGAATGCTTGAGATCAAATAGATATAGCTTTAATGTAAAATTTACGTCTAATTTTACTAATTATATGCTCTTTTATTGTTTCAGTCTCTGCACGACTTCTTCCATTGGTGATTGTAGTGGTTTCCCATAGTGGAAACCAAAAATTTCATCTTACGCTACGGTGAGCATTTTGATTTTTTTCACAAAGATATTTATGTCCCTTGTGTGTGATTTCTTTAGATGTGTTTCAGTTAAATTAATTTTTGTAAAAACTCAATGTGTCATAAGAGACTTGTGGTGCTGGATTTATATATGAAAGTAAGCTGATGTAAAAATCATAATTCTCCTTAAGATTTCTGATTCTCAGAGATGCAAGTTTTCTTCGTTTCCATTTGATTTTCTTAGAGAGATGGCATTTAATTTAATCTTCATCTGAATGAGTAACATTATAAGAATGTGCGAATCATGTGACAAGGGATGATATAGGATCGTACCTTTCTTTCCTTACGACTCCAGATTATTCTAAGGCCTCGTGAATGTCGCGGCCATCCAGCGGAAGCACCATAGAGCACTGAAAAGACTACATAACTATTGTATCATATCAGCCGAGCATTACCTTAATCTTGGTAGGAGTCGAACGACGGACTTAGCGATGTACAGTCCGTGCAGAGAGCCGTGTCGGTACGATGAATGTCGGCTCTGTTAACGCAATATCCACTCCTTCGGAGATCACTCCGCGATTGGGTCGCTCTTCGAATCACGACTGCGACACAGTTTCCACAATTCCTTCTGTAAAAACAAGTAAAATAAAACATTTCAAAATATAAAAAAAATCATGTGTACTAACATATTAAAAAGCGTACACTTATCGAGTATTTAAAATTTATATCAATGGCGTTCTAAATTGAAACTTATTTTATCAAATTTTTTTTTCTTGTACAAAAATTGTATCTGTTTTTATTGTCTGCGTATTAGAGATGTATGATATTGTATATAAAATCACAACTTATTCTTTATCTTTAAATAAGAAATTGTCAACATAGAGAAACTTAGAGAAGTGTGAAGTAGACATTAATATGTTTTTTTTCAATTACTATGTTTATAGCGCATTACATCATGTTTCTTGATCCGAGTGCTACACATGCATGTACCACGTACAAAAAACATCTTCCACGTGCAGCATAAATTAAACAAGACTCACTCGCAATAATGAGGTTTTAATCCTCACATAAAGATGATCTTAATAATGAAAGTTACTCTGGAGAAACGCGCGTCTCTCGTGTATTTTCGATAATTAAGATAATTTAAATTCGAATTTGGGACCAATATGCAAATTGTTTGAGGGCCAAATTATATCAACGTGCAGTATGATAACTACAAAACGTATGTATAAAGTCATTTAATCTGTAATTATTACGTTGCATAATGAGATGCAAGAGTTCTGCAAAAAAATAAACGTGCGATTTAACATAGTATAGGTCAATACATGATGTGTGAGGAAAAAAAAACTAGGAGAATAAGAGTGGTACCAACCGATACAAAATTATTCAACCTCGCCTTTAATTAATGATTTACAATTCTGACAGCAGCAGTTTTTCGTTTCACACGATTGTCGTGATATGTGTACAAATCTTAGAGAGTGCTTTATTTGTACCTATACAAATACTACAAATTCATATACAATCAACGGTGCGCATTCTAAAGAACTTCGCGGTCTTATTTCAAAACAATCTATACAAACGTAATTCCTAAGTAAAAAATAATGACTCTCGTAGTATTTTTATTTTATTATTCGAGGTATACGTCTCCGCTGGTCCTACAAATCTTTTCTCTTTCGTATTTTCGTACTTTGCTCTTTGTGCGAGATACGTCAAGCAAGCATTTTTTCATGAGATTGTACCGTTATCAGTCAGTATCCGTTGATAACGAGCAAAACTCATATTGCTCTTATATCTGCTCGATCCTGCAGAACTGATCGAGTTATCCGAGCGAAGGATCGAATCTTATACGACAGTTGCGTATGCGTTTTTCCGCTTTATCGTATTCGTATACAAAATTTCTTTACCTATTCACACAAATTAAACAATTGCGGACTTATCTCTCTGTGAATCATCCCCTCGATTCGATCGCGTCGCGCGAATCTCGATATTTGAATTACATCAGTCGTGTGTCGGCATAATTGAAGATCTCCCGCGCAGAGATCGACTAGTGTTCCCCTTTCTTTTTTATCGTCGAAGGTTGACAAACTCTAAACGGCTCCCGTTTATCGGGTGCGGAAAAAAAATACCTTTTTTCTTCTATGACGTCGCGCGATGTTGCGAGGGATCGCATTCGCGGAGGCGCGCCGCAATTCGGCGCGGCGCGTCTTCAAGAACCGCGACAAGACGCAGGGATGCGAGAGGGACGCCGCATTGGATCTTTTCCACGATGGATCTTTGGTCCGGCATGTGCGCACGGAGATGACGGCTTATCAGCCCGCGAGGGTGCCGCTGTCCGCCGTTTTTCCGAATCTTCTTGTAAGTTTTGAGAAATGGCGTGAGCACACGACGGATTATTATCGTAGCTCGTCGTAACTGTCAAACGGAGTCGTAAGTTGACAGAATGACTGGATTTATTGTAACTGCCTCCAGTGAAGCCTTAAAGACTATCGTACACAAGAAACTTGAGCAATAAGTCCTAAGCAGTGGGCAAATTAACGTTTTAGATTTTCTATACGGTTTTCGTTATTGTTTTAAAGCTATCGAGTCGTCTGCAATGAGAGTATTATGATTAAAATTGTAAGCAGTAAGAAATCAGCCAATCACAGTCGAATATGAGAAGAATTATCGACTAAGAATGATTGGTCAATTTCTCATACTTATTACGTAATATTATAACTTTCATTGTAAACGGCGGTCTACTATATATATGCTTTACACGTTGATCCTTGACTTACGATTTTGTCGTAAATGGTTAGACTAATCTGTGTTTCAGTCGAAAAGTGCAGTGAATTGAAAAGAAAAGCTAAGGGAACGCGATAAAAATAACTCGCGAGCGAAAAATGGTCGAGTATCGTCGGATTAATGCTTATTTGAAGCATTTGATTGGCCACTGAGAAGAAAAATTTTTACAAATTGACCGATTAAAGAATACTCTTCGAAGTATTTGTAGCATCCTTTGCTACGAAATATCATTACATTGGCTGCATCGAATTGCGCTTCAAATTTTATAAAATATATATTACCTAATTAGTCCCTCTCACTTTCCAAGACATTTCGTGCATTCTAAAAAATATTACATCGTACGGATCAAATATGGATACAACATCGTCGTCGCAGTTGCTTTTAATCGATGTCGCAGTCACTTACTCATTATTATACTCGGTGATGACGAACATGAAATTCTCGTTTAGAGTACCATATGCCGAAATGATAAATGAGTCGGTTTCTCCCCCACTGTACGAAAGCTGTTAGCTATCTCAGAGAGATTCTCCGAATTTGCGAAACGCATTTGCGACTTTAATAATGCGGTATTATCTCGTATTCACCTATATAGAATACGGTGCGCGATCAATGTCCATATAATCGATCGATATAGGCTTGAGATAAACAAGAGATTTCATGACTATTTTGCGAAATTAACGAGGGGCTTCTCCATGTTTTATCTGCCATTACAAATTGACCTTTTAGTGTTTGCTCACATCCTGAGAATGGATATCAAAGCGCTCGAAGTAATTTACGATTGGATTAACATTTTTATTAATTCCGTTTTATAAGAAACGCCTCTCAAATTTTCTTTTCTTTCTTTTTTTTTTCTTTTTCAGTTTCGTCGGAGCACAATAAGAACTTTCTTTCTTTATTAAATTCACCACGGTTGATGATTAATTTTTATTACATGTATATTCGAACTTTCAGTCATTTCTTGTTTGTACCGTACTTTTTTTATATACATGTGCATCAGCAGCTTTCGTTCAATCATTTTTATCGCTTAATGTTAATTTCTACAAGAATACCGTCGGTAGGACGTCGACTGGAGATCGATTGTCTGCCTTATAACATTTTCGCGTCCGTTCTCCTCGCGTATATAGTACGTACAAGTGGCATTAGAATATCAATATATATGGTATTATTTCTTATAACCTTGTGCCGCGTTGCGTAGCCAAGTCCGTCGAGAGGATCAGAAAGTGAAATTGACGGCGAAATGCTAACGAGCCTTGACTGCCGCGTCGAAAAGAGATGTGCAAAACGCGTCTCGAAGCACCTCCGGTCACGCAGCTGCACCGTTTCGACTGTGACGTTGAGGTTTGCTCATAAATATCGTCCGAAAATTTTACGTAACGCCTATTTAGCCTAGATATTTCTGCTCATGCTCTGCACAAATCAAGGCGGAACGCTAAAACTTAAGCTCGCGGATGTTTTAACTCTCTCAACGGTATACGTGTTAACGAGAATAAACGTAATGACGTGCGATTAATGTGACGTATAAATGAGCGGTTTTCTCGTTACCTTATCGCTCGCATATTGATAAGATATCAATGACAAAGAAATTTTTGCAAGGGAATCAAGATTGCTAGAATTAATAAAATATCGCATGTGTTTGTTTATGTAAAATTAATTCTTCTTCCTTTAAATGATTTCGAAATGTTGATTTTATCTTGTATCTAATTTTTATAATTTAAAAATCTAAAGTTATACATATGTGTGATCTTGTTATCGGCAGTAATGTGTTTGTTGACAGTGCAGGATTATAGTTTTTGATTTTAAAATTATTAAAATTGCTATAACGTATTTAATTACAAATTTAACTTTTAAGTGCTATAGGTAGGTGGTCACAGCAGCAAAGTTCTTAAAGTTTATTATTTTTGCATTCCTCTGTGTCATAAATATTATTAAAAAATTTAATTATATCTAAAAATAATTTTTTGTGAGTATTTTAAGCACTCCACCTACTTAAATATTAAATTAATAATGGTAAAGTGATAATTTTTCTATGATTCTCGAAATGAAATAATAAAATTTAGACAAATGTGTGAGAGTATAACGCAGTTGTTGAAGCATAATTAAATTATACGGTTGTTTGCAGTATTTACTCGAATATATTTCAATGAATATATTTTAAACGTTCGAATAAAATATATTGTCATTTGCCTCAATTTTATTATTTTAAATATTAAAATTAGCGTTGACACTTGCATTGGTAGAATTAGCGATGTCTGCTGCAAAAAGGTCTAACAAGCGTTCAGCAGACTGAATATACTTTTGCAAAAACAGTCGAAATGTCTGTGTCATCTCGAGTCAGTGTCCTGAAATAAACTAGAACCGGAAGACGAGCAAAATGAACGTGTCCGCCGGAGCGCTACCAATATAAATAAGCGCAACCGGCTTAAATGCCGGTTCCTCCCGATGGGTATTTAGGGTCTTGCAGGGAAGGTAAAACCCCCTTTCAAAAATACTTTGTGTTTGTTCTGGCGATGGCATGCGCGTAAAGAAACGCATTTTATGTTCTCCGAACTCATAGATCTATAACAATATCTGAAATTTTTTAAAATAATTTGTATTAAAAGCATTCACTGAAAAAAGTGTGTGATGACAATTATAATTATATAGCGAAATAATTATGGTTAAGAGTTCCACGTTCGTAATTATTACAACTATATAATGTTAATAATTATTATTTTAGTTCTATCAAAAAATGTACAGTTGACATCAAAAAACTTTACTGACTATATTGACTATAAATTATAATTAAATGGTGTAATAATTACAGTCTTTTTTTTCTCTTAGTGTACAAGACTGTATTTGCGAAGTCAGTTAGGAATAGATTTTAAAAAAATTTATCACTTTCAAGTTGTGATAAAATGTCGGAATCTTCTTTCTCTCAGCAATTGATATTATGTGCGAAGATACGATTTTTGAAAATAGTTAAAAAATAAAAAATAATTTCTTGAAATTTTTCACGCGTTGACCTAAATTACTATAAATCATCTTAAGTACAATTTAAGATATCATAAGCCAATTACAGGTCGGTGTTAGTATCTTAAGACGATCTTCAAATAAGAAGCGGCTATGAATATCGGCCTAAATCTAATCTGGTTGCGAAAATATACTAAATATAAAGTTGCATTTCAGGAAAGCGAGGCGATATCGCTCTTCGCTACAGCGTCCAAGCTGGCCACCGTGGAAGATGAGGGTCCAAAGCGGCCCGAAGGCCCCATCCGACCATCCGCCGCCACCCTGAAAGTTTCACCCACGGCAAGGGCGATTCTCCAGGCATCAAGGTCATCGAAGAATAAGCTAGTTACTCCCGTTAGTACACGCGACGCTGAGACCATCACGGGTAAGGCGAAAGAAATTTTTATCATTTTTATATTTACGTACCAGCTGTTGCTTGGACGATGTCACGAGATCGCTGTTCAAGATATTGATTCTTTCACTTAGTATCTCTGTAAGCTCCACTAGTTCCACAATCAGAATCGTTATTTGTTAACTGTAGTTTTCCTAAATGTAGTGATCGATGATTAATATGGTTAATATAGATGTGATTAAAACGCACGTTTAAACGTGATTCAACAATGATTCAACTGGCTGACGGATCTAAGCGCAGCGAGAACTTTAATTTATCGTTCCCAACGAGAATTCCTCGCGTAAACAGATTTTTACGAAAAATAGCACGTTGATCTCACGCGTTTAAGGTACGGATTTACCACATCTTACTTTGCAAGCGTACGAAGAGAAACTGTCTTTGACGGTGCTAGCACGAGGAGTTTTATAAAGTGGCTTACCTGTTCCAAGCCTCATGGTGTTTCCCATTGGCCTGAGCCAAATGATGATTACTCCTGCCCGGCGGATAATACGCCACGCTCCATTCTCATCATCATGGACGTCATCATCATTATCGTTATAGTTCTAGTCATCATCATCATTTTTGCCGTCGTCAGCATCATAATCATTATCTTCATCATCGTCCGTCGTCGTCGTTGTCGTCGTCGTCGTCATCATCATCATCATCATCATCATCATCATTATCATCATAACTATTGTGCTACAAATGTTGGTTGTTATTATGATTATTTTTATTGTTATTGCAAACATCTGTAAATATCTTTTATCTTCTATATTTGCTTCGTATTGATTGCAATGTGATCGATAATATTCCCGGAATAATTTTCTAAGGTACTATTATTTCGCGACAAGTCCAAAATGTTGAAAGTCTATTCCGATCTCTCGAAATAAGTGACCTACAAAGGGCTAGTATTTGTAGTAACATTACAAAATCTAAATCAATGCATTGTTTCTTCGTGCTGCACTTTCGCGAAGAACGTATGTGATTTCTTTTGAATATATTTTTTCATCGATCAGCTTTTTCAAACTACTGCATCTAAGTGCAAAGTTTTGCATTGACGTTTAGCTTTTATTTTAACACGGTGAATAAAAATTCATGAAATATGTGCAATTAAAATTCGTTCCATTAGCAAACGCTAGTTTATTCCCGTCTATTATATAATGCATGCGTATATACACAGTACACATGTTTTTTTTTTGGTTGGATAACTTCGAGTCACTTGCCAGCAACCTTGTCGAAAGCGACTGCTAGTGAAGATTTATTTAAACTTATCGATCGCAACATCTCCCCCCGTTCATTTTTAATATATGACAAAGCTGAAATATTGTTTCCATTTTAAGAAGTGATTGATCTAAAACAATTTTTCCTTTTTTTTTTTTCTAATAAATTGTTATTTTTTCGTTCAATACTTAAGTACTGAAGATATCGAAAAAATTAAGTCCAATTAGCTTTCTACAATAAACTATTATCTAAGCCTTAAATTTTCAGATATAAGAAATTGACCAATTTCAGTCGAATGTGAATCGACTACTGATTGCAATTTCTTTTTATTTAAAATTTAAAATTTAGGAATTACCGTATTATATTTAGAAAGCCCATAAGATTAAGATTAATCTTAGAATACAACTTTTTCAAATGTACATATTTAATGATTCAAAAGAAAGGTTAGTTATATAAAAGCACAAAAAAATTAATTAAAGATTAATTGAGGAGTGCTCTATGCACCCACTGTCGTGAAGAGAGCATTATACGTTTCTGAAACGTTTAATTCTTTAAAGCAAAATGAAAAATTTAGCTTTTCAAATTAGTTTCGTTCGATAAATGACTCGATCACGGAAATCAAAATTGGCTAAGCTCCAGCTACACCGGTCGCTGCTATTTTCCTCCATCGCGACGTACGTTCGACGGAGTTCTTCGGCGGCTCGCGACTCAAAAAGAACGTCTTTCCCGAGTTCGTAAATGCATCGCTGTTAATGAAAGACCGCGAAGAGTTTCGTCCGCGTAATCACCCAGAATATAACGCCAGGCGTCACTCATCATTCGACGTAATTAGTGGAGCACATATAATCGTTACGCGCGACCGTGTCGTTTAACTCGTTTACTAACGATTTCGTAATAATTGTGTGCATACGATAAGGTGCACGCAGACGGATTATACAATTTAATTCTTCGCAGCTGTTTGAATAAAAAGGAATTCACAGATGAAAACGTTTACTAACGATATATCGCAAACATATTTGATAGTTTATTCTTTTATTGGATCATATGTTCTTATTTACAATTTATAATATTTATAATATTTGATAACATTAATTTGAAATGTGATAATTGCGCTTTCTTTATTGTACCAAAAAAAATTAAATTAATACATGCTTGAGATTGGATGAAAAATTCAACACTTTTTTTAATTTTAAATATAAGAGAAGACTATTGTCAAAATATTTATTTCTATATAAAGATAAAGTTCGAAAGAAAAAAAAAAAGCTTTTTTTGTATTAGATTGCAAAGTAGAGAGGACGAAAATTATGAACATTTTTATGTTTGTTATTAATTGAATCGTAAAAATTATCAAATCATCTTCTCGGAGGAGTTACGCAAGTTTTTTGACTAGACATTAAATTCGCAAAACGTTCAATCGTCATGTACCGCGACGGTTTTATTTCGTTTTACGTAATCTACGATCTGTGAGTTTCGGAATCGAATTTCGTGAATCTAAGCGAACTTCGTTGCAGTAGAAGGTGTCTTGATGAAGAGAAAGAGCAAAGAGTTCGGCCAGTGCCGAACACAAAATTATGTATCTAGGCACGCATGCAAGAGAAGCGAAAAGGCCTAAGGGCCCAGCGAAGCTCAGAGAGATCCTTGAGAAACGTGAAGCTGTGCTAAGCAAGTGGCGAGATGGTATGATATCCGTTCACAGTATTTTTTGTGCGCGAATTATTATTATATTTTTTCCATTATTACACGTTTCGCATACAAAGAGGTAAAAAAACGTGATTCGAAAACAAGATTAAAATGAAGCTGTTCCACCAGCAAGATTTAAAAGTAAAAAAATAACAGAGAGATTAAATTTTAATCTCTTTCAATGGGAGAATTAAATAATTTTTCTTTTTGACACTGGGCATATAATTACTATTGTAATAATATAATAATGTGAATAATCACGATTATTGTAATTGTTGACGGTTTATTATTATTAATCGTACATGAAGTAATCATTTATTATGTTAAATTAGCATTTAATTTAAAATTAAATTTGTAAAAGCATTCGCTGAAATGTCATATACACAATGTAATGTATATTTTACAAGTATACATTTTGATGACATTCTGTTTGGATTTGCTAAAAAATATAAACAGTATCGAGATATGTTATATGTATGTATGATAAAAAATATATAGTACACATTTTGTTTGCCTTTATCAATATCATCCACAGTTGGTAACGTATTAGGTATTGATATCAACTAGCAGGTATTATCTTCAGTAGTAAGCGCACCGACGATTTACCTTCTTGCTGCACACTATTGCCAGTATGTGGCAGCACGCGCTCTACATTGATGGTATTTTTATCATTTCTGCAGTGATAACTGGTTCGCACTTTTGCACAATCATTTAGGCTAGTATTCATAGTCGATATATTTGAGATTGTCTTAAGCATAGTCTTGAGATTTTATTAAACAATCAGAAAGCTGCATTTGTATCTTAAGACATTACTTAAGACGATCTTAAAATAAGAACGAACGATGAATACCGTTCTTAAACTTGATATGTGCTAGTTCCAAGCTCAATATAACACTCGCATTTATACATTACACACATCAAAAAAAGTATTTTTTTACACGTAATAATGTATGAACATTTGAAGAAAAGTCAAAACGTGTTATACAATCTAATTTAGGAACAATATAAATAAAATTTAGATTTATGTAATATGATATTTGAACAGGTAACGAAAACAAACGCATTTTTTACTTATATCTTTTAATTAAAAAAAAAAAACTATCTGACGAAGTTTTTTGTTATAACAAAAATATCGAGAAACTAAACATTATAAAAACTTTGTAAAATATTTGTTTAGTTGGCTTAGAAAAAAACATTACTTACGAGCAATAAAATTTATTATTTTTATAATTTACATTTTAATTTTTAAAGTATTTTGTATTAACCGAGCAATAAACATACGAAACTGACATAAATATTATTAATCATCAATATCTGCTTTGATCAAAAATTTATGTCATTCTTTATTTATTTCTATTGATTATTTTCCAATTACTGTTTTTTACTTACTGTTGATATAAAAATGATTGAATAAAATTAAGATCGACATAAAATACTCAAAGCAAATTATACTTAATAAAATTTTATTTGATAATTAAAACTCTGTTATTATACACTAACTCAACAAAATTAAAGCACCACCTACCTATATCGAGATGTTTAAAAAAGCGTTTTAAAGCTTGAAATCTGTACTGTTCAGAACAGTTATTTAAGAAACTTCATGAAATATCAGCAAGACCGATCAGCAAGATTATAAATAACTGTTTTGAAAAGTATAGATTTCATACACACACACAAGCTGTAAAATGCTTTTTTAAATATCTCGATACGATGATTCTTTACGAAGTTATTTTACAAGTTATTTAGGACACTTGCGCGTAAAGCAAGCGATTCAGGTTCGACTCCCGGCCAAGGTAATATATTTCGCAATGAGAAAAATTATTAGTTTCAGATTTTAATATAGTTTAACATCGATATAAGATGCCAAAAGAGCATCAATTTAAATTGTTAATCAATTTAATTCGTGTATCAATTTAATACTGCGGTAGTTTATTAGAGTTGCGTTTCAAGACCGACAATCGTTCGGCGCGCAGTTAAAAAGATTACACGTATTAATATATAAATTCACACGAAATTATATATAAGCAACTAATATTCAAGCTAGATTATTATAGGCTTCGTATTCGTATAAGTTATTTTATCTTGAAATTTGTCTATTTTTGCAGGGAGGAGCAGGTAATGCTTTAATTTTGTTGAGTAGTGTAATATAAACTGTTTATTCAATTTTCCAAAATTTAGCTTCAAATATACTGCAACAAATATATAAAATATTTTACGCTTCATCAAAATTGATAAGCCATCAACTATATTTATATTTTCCAATTTATATTTTCCAGTAAAATAATAGTAAACGCACGAGATTGATAAAAAATGCTAGATGTAAAATTAGGATTGATATTAAATTAAATATTTGATAGTTTATATCCAGTTTATGTTAATATTGGAATGTTTTATCTAATTTTATATGAATCTCATGTGAATCGTCACATTTCAGTCAAATGATGGTTGCCTTCTTCTTTTCGACATGTCATAATTCGTGTAACATGGCATCATGTACCTGTAGATCTACCGGGCGTAAGTCTTGCTTGCGCGATCTGGTTTCCACAATTCAATTCTAACGAAGAACGTTGGGAACCGGTTGCGACGGTCTAACTGTTTTCTTCGTCATTAATGGAATCTGGGAAATACATAATTTTTCGCGAAAAGCGCATATACCGGCGTTCACGCGTTGAACAATCGGCGCAACTAATCTGAGGCATCATCGCGATTATGTGTTAAATTCGCGATGGGTTCGTGCAGCGCGATCGAGCGCGATACTCCTCTCGCGCGGGTCATCTCTGTCTCACGAGAGAGGGACAGGGCGAAAAGCTGTACTCTGTAGTCTACTGAAACCGAGACTCACGTTGTTTCCCGGTGTAGTCAGCATCAGCAGTTGCAGGCGACGTTGCATACATTGCGTTGCCGCGTTTTCCTGAGAAAAACTCATCAAGTCCTGTGATTTTTCTCGGTCGGCGATGCGTTCTGCTTACTACGTAACTGCTATGCGAGGATCTTTTAAGAATTGTGTACAACATCAGGTCAGTAGTAGTATTTTACTGTCAATAGCACTGGCTGGAATAAACCTCGACTAACCCGGAAGCGTGACTCTGTTGAGCGTGACGTTCCATCTTCAGTGAACTTTAGGATAGATTTCTCGACAACATAAGATGTATTTCTTATAAAGAAACTTGAAACCTCTAATTAAATATCATGAAATGTCAAAGAAATACTAGTTACCCAATCCTTCGTGTTAAATAATTTTGTTATATTTAATTTTCATCTATCAAAATGTGAAACGATGTATTTGTGTGATTTGTTCCAAAGTAACCAACATTCATATTAATATGTATACATTCAGTAAATAATTAAAATTGAGTCAAATTTAATATATGCATATTTTCTTGAGTTAAATTGCTCGATCCCATTTGTTTCAATTAAACGACATACTAAATAAGAGCAATGGCAACCTACAGAAATGATTTAAAATAACTCAATTTGGGTAACACAGCGTAGAGATCATTAATAATCTCTATCGATCAAACTTGATGTGAAAAATTTTGATCGATAATAGATGGATTTTTTATTGAGATCTTATTCAAGTCTTAATCACAAAGACATCGGAATTGCGACGTGATGATGTTTCGTTAAATTTTTACTAAATAAATATCAGCATCTTCGAAGTTTATCGTATCCTGAAATGGTGATCGACTCCGAAGTTCTGTAGTTACATGCGCTTCGCATGAAACATGTTGATGTGATGTGGTATGCAACCGTTGAAGGGCCCCCCTCATTTGTGGTAAGCCGCAGAAATCTCTCCTCTTCCTCCTCCATGTTCCCTACTGTACCGCAAGCAAATGCTTTTTGTCACTCAAGTCACGCACTCTTGTCTTACACCGCAGGAAGAAGATTTTAAGTGGTCATACAACGTAATGCACGATAGAAAATAACTTCGTAATAATAATAAAAGAGGCGCATTTTCATGATAACGCGTTGCACTACGTTGCACAATGATGAAGGGTGCGATTGAAAATCATAAAGTGCGCTGTATAATATCATTACAAAATATCATATTATTTCATGAAATTCCATGCCTCTCGCTCGCGCCTTTTTATTTTTATGAAAACGGTGCGAGTTTCATGCGCATATAACGCGAATATACATATTTTCATCTTATCGCATTCGTCTATTTTTGTTGCTTAGTAAAGCGTACCTGTTAAGTATCTCTCATAACTTAAACCAGTGATGCGCAACTTGTGGCCTGTCTGTGAATTTTTTGTCGACCGTCGGCTTATAGTCGAAAATATAAAATCATATTTTCTATTTTATCAATGAGACGTTCTCTTTTATTTTGAAAGTACAATAATAACTTAAAAAATTAAGTTTCCTAGAAATAGAGTAAAACTTATTCTTCAACTTGACTGAAAATAATTATTGACTAATCAGATAATATTGACAAAAAATATGTTTTTAAGGAGATCCAATTTAGAGACTTAATTTCTTAATATGATGTAGATGAACACTGTATACAAATAATCCCACAATTTAAGCAATATTAACCGTATAGTTTTTTTGTAATGTCATTCTGAAATTGACTATTTTAACATAGCGTCTTATGGGAGACAGTCCGAAGTAAATAATCACCGATTTATATACACTCAGCCAACTTAGGACTTTTTTTTATCATTATATATTTTATATTATAATTTATTACTTAACAATGTGTTATCTGCATCCACTACATTCTAATTACTGGACAGAATTTATATTAGTTTTTAAATATATTGTGACTGTTATTGGTGAGTTTTCTTTTGAATCTTGTCTTTTATATATTATATTGTACAACTTGTTATACTACGCTTTTGAGGCTTTCACGGGTATTTTCTTCGATTATACCAGAAGGTTTGCGGGTTATCGCCGTGTCTTTCTTCATTATTAATGCCAACGTTTCGTGAACCGTGCCTTGTTATATTAATAACCCGAACTTGTTATATTAATTTTTACAGAAATTTTCTTAACGTACGAATTATCAAGTTTTCATTAACAATGTCTTATTTTTCTACAATAAATTTATCCACTAACAAGATGATTCGAAGAGAACTCAATTAGAGAGTCGAAACTGGTCATGTAGATCCTGTATATATTATATTAATTACTATTTTTAGTAATTTAAATTTAATTAGTTTTAAGTTAATTAATTTTGTAAATTTGCTAATTTGATATAATGTTTGTAGTTTTATTTTATAAGTGAATTTGTTATCAGGTTTATTTTAAATTGACTCTTACTTTGCCCTTATACTGTGATTGATTAAAACTTTGAAAAACTGTAGGATTTGACTGATGAAATGTCAACAATTGTGTACAAAACAGGACAATCGGATTTGAGCGTATGGATTTAAAACTTTATTGTCCGATTCTGTATTTCTTCCTTACAATTCGCCATGATCGCCATAATCTGTCACTGCCTGTCACGTCGCGAAGTGCAACGTTGCCAAATGTATACTCGACTTTTCGAGTTGTTGACAATCTTATACACACATTTGTTAATATTTTATTCACTAATATAATTTACTAAGAATACAGCACATAAATGATATTCACAATTTATTACACTAATATTGCGCATGATTCCAAATCGCTATAACGACCATTTCTTTCAGTTGCATTTTTTTATTCCAAAGTAACGCTCGAACCTCCTTAACGTAATCAAATATTATATCTTGTCATTTTTGTCTTACAATTCTTAAAAACCCGATCTCTTCGAATCATGACAATTTTGACGATTTTTTTATAAAGTTAAGTTAGTTGACTTTTGATGAAATTGATAGAGCAACGTTTACTTGATTAATAATAATAATAATAATAATAACAACCAGTTTTTTTAATCGTGCCACTTTTGAAGTAAGAGAACGAAATAAACATTACGCAGCTCGTAAGATTTTTACCTGTTTCTGAAAATGACCCTTAAGTTGCGCATCACTGACTTAAACATTGCGTCAACGCTATTATTGGATCACCCTGTCGTCATTCTTATTTTTGCATTTAAGCGAAACAAGTCGACGATTAAACGGCACGATGTTTTTCCTGTTCCTTTCGCAAGTGCGCCCAGCGCGTCGGGAGGATATATATACGCACAATGCGTACATTCCCATCGCACTCGACGAGCTCCCGCACATAGGGAACGAGTCGCGAGATATGACGCGTAGCACGCGTGCTCGATTATGCTCGCGACTCGAAGCGGAACCGCGTTTTATGGTGCGCGCATAATGAACGCGCCTTCGCACTTATTTGTTAGTAACGCCACGGTGGATGCTGCGCTTGATTGTTGCAGATGTATGCAGCGGCGAGGAATTGCCAGAAGTCGAGATAATCAGTCTGCTGGAAGAGCAAATACCGAGATATCGTCTCCGGGCCGACACCTTAACGCAGTTTCAAGGTGAGCTCCGTTCCCGCTTCTTTCTTAGGAAAACGAGAAACATGAGATGAAAGGTAAAGCGTGTGCTTATAATGCAAAACGGAAAAGTGCATGACCGCTCGCTGCGGTCGGAGAAACCTTCGAAATTCCTTCTTTTTGTTTCGCGTACACAAGTAGTTTGTATTAATATCTTAGACATCATCGAATTTATATTCCAGAATTTATCGACAATGATAAAATACAACCGTCAATAAACGTGCTAATCTCGAGTCTATCGGATGCCAGATAAACTTGATCGGTTTGATGAGTCGTATATTCGATAATGATCGATAAAATCGACAATATGCAGTCGTTTTAAGTATTAAACGTAATTCCCGCGAGGAAAAAAACATTGACCGCAGTTCTATCGACGATTGTAAACTTTTACCGTAATGACTCGCTTTTGATATAATCGAGAAAGTGGGATGTCGAAAATCGATATACGGGCAGAGAAGACCACAGCGTGCGCCCGATCGAATTTCCTACGTTCTAATTAACCGAGGAAGCCTGTCCAATAACTGTCTAGAAGTGCATTTTACAAATGGACGTTTTATGGCGCCCTGAAGTACCGAGTATAAGGGTTTTACGTTAAGAAATTGCAGTGCGTCATTCGAAACAGGGAAAGCGCCGGTGTATGAAAAGACACTTGCAATTGTAGGTATAAAAATATACGAGAAAGATAAAAGGTAATAATATCGAAAGTAGGTAAACAACGACGCTTCACGTACGTTCGCACATTGTAAAGAAAGAGAGCATGAGAAGTGTGAAAGTATAAAGAACATTGTATATAGGGAAGTGTATAGGTAAAGAACTCGCGCGTGATCTTTCGCCGAGTGCGTTGAACCAGGAGCAATATAATGTGGCACGTGCCAGTTGGTGAACCATTAATTTATGGACCATGGTAGCCCGTATCGCGTGTCAATAAAGCGAAGCCTCCAAAAGGTGCGTCCCCGATGGGGGGGTTGCGGCCAATTAGCAACAGTACATTTAGCTGCGCTCCGCCGCGAGCTGTAACGTGCGAGCAATGGCGTTTTTGTTACCCGTCTTCGGAACGGATACGATTACCGCATTAATTAGTACGTTAATACGCTGCCCCGAGTATATATTAGTATGCTTTAAAGTAATTTGCAGACCGAGGCACTTAACACATTTTTGCAATCTCCCGTTTCAGTATAGACGGGTAATCTAGATTGCTCGAATTTGGATCACGCGACGACCGTCGACGATGATGATGATGATGATGATGATGATGATGTAGATGATGTACGTGCGCCGATATTAGCGGCAAAATTGTTAAAAGGTTTATTTTTCATTGTGTACTTACAGGATACGAGAACGCCGATTGGTTTATCCCGGCGCCTGCTCTCAGATCGGAGGACGTCGATTTGAAATTATCGCCGGATCAGATCCGGGAGACTCTTAACTATTTTAGTAAGTACAACCTCTAATTTATCATTGTAAATGTTTTTGGTAGACAGCACAATATACAATATGTAAGCTGAATGAATGATTCAACCGAAGAAGAGAGGCCGGATTTAAGAATGCCATAAGTCACTCTTTTCAAAATTTCGTAAAAAAAAAAAAACCTGAGTCTGTGTGTATAGAAATTAAATTTTTTAAATTACTCAAGTAAGATTTTGATTGATGCGTTTAACATACATAATTATCGCTTAATTGCGCTGTCTTATTAACGCAATTAAAATGCAATAACTATGAGATTGAAGAAACTCCGCATATAAACAGAAAGAAACGGAAATAGAAGTAAGATTCAATCGTAAACGTCAGGGAACGTGATATTAATGCAACGAGCGGAGTAAATCTAATCAAAACCGCTCAATGGAAAACCGTCGGCTGCTGATGTTACGCAGCGGCAATATGGTCATTGCGCTATACGTTTGTTCGCGCGAGTGCAATTCCGCGATGCACGTAAAGTGCATCAGAGACGCGCATCGCGAAGAAATCCATCTTCGCTAAACAAGATGGAAAAGTGACAGGTTATTACAGCGGGATGTATCCAAGTGCTGTAAACACGCGGCATTGATGGATACCGAGGACGATACGATGAAAGATTCCGCGAAGAATTCTTTCGAACAAGAGAGAAAGGGAACATCTTGACGCGCGCGCGTGCGATTTTCTCGCACGAGCAAAAAGATGATTATTCGTTTCGTTGGGCGACAATTCGCGAAGCACGTGTCGCTCACGTGATATCTCGCGTGTCGATGATTACCGATTTTCCAGTCTCGAGAAGTAACGCGTTTATTTTCATTTATGTGCTCTAGATACCTGCGATGGTAACATCCGACACGATCACGTACGATATCATCGTACACTATAAAATAACGTTCGAGATTTAATGGCAATAATGACTTTGTCGAATTTGACTTTTTCTTCTACACGTATTTATTTTCTTTGCGATATGAATTGTTTGTGTTTATGTGTTCCGTTTAAATGTTATAGGCCTTAAATTTGTGCTCTTAAAGCGGTACGTTTTTGTTCTTAAAGCAGTGAATTAGTGTTTTATAGCAGAAAATTTGTTTTAAAGCAGTGAATTTGTAGTTTAGAGCAGATAATTTCTTACATGCTTCCTCACTTACATGTTCCCATTATGTTATATCAATGATTAAGTTTTCACCGAGGGTTAGAGTTGGGTCAGAATTCAAGAACCGACCAACCACAGTCGAGCATTCCTCTCTCATTTGATTGTAAGATGGGAATACTGGCCTGTGGTCGGTTCTTGTACTCTAACCCAACTCTAACCCTTGGTGGAAACATAATCAATATGGCGGATTTTCTAACCTGAATGGTCGTGAACTTTATGTAACGCTTAATATCTCAGAAACTATAAGAGACCGCCACCTAGTTGTTAAGGCAAAGTTACTCAGAATCATCAAAGATCAAGGTCATCGAAGCTGGATCCCCTAAAGTGCATAATTACCCAAATTAATTTTCTACACTTTAAATATAATTTCTTTAAAACAAATTCAGAAATTTCGCCTCTAATTTCATTACAATCCTTTAATTTATATAAAATTTCTGATGCTAATAACCATCTTAAAGTCTGTAAATAATTTTATTGAGAAAAATCTTACCTCGGATTAAGAAACATTAGGTACAACATAAAATCTGAAATCACTAAATGGAAGTAAAAAATTTCGCCTTATATATGAAATATCTCGGATCTTTGCGGAAAATATTTACGCGCAGTCAGGTCGACCGTTTTTACGACTATTGACAAATACGGTGAGAATACCGTATTCAAGATGTACCAGTCTATTTAGTAATTGGTACATGAAAGTATTCTGTTCTCTCTCTTTCTTTCTACCTCTATTCTATCACCAAGCTTTTCGTCACTCCAGCTTCTCGCTTGCATGTATTTTATCAAAGGACCCCGAAACTAATTATATAGAAAATTGGGTTCCGGTGAAAGAGTTAGTTTTCACACATACTACAATTTATACTATATAATGAACAAAAATGTTATATATATATATATATATATACATGGCTCAAATAATGGATACTCAAGATGCGTGTCAAAGGTGTTTTGTGAGCACAAGTTTTACGCTGTTGATATACCACAACTCAAGAAACTGTCTATTATGTGAGTCTATGTGTATGTAACATTTTTGTTCGTATTGTAAGCAACAATATATGTGAAAATCGACTTATTTACCGGGACCCAATTTTCCATATAATTAGTGCGTAGTCCTTTCATCGACGTGTTGAACGCACTCTGCTATCGCAATTTAGATTTCTCGAATCGTGAAAGAACACAATATTAATTAGACACGTAAGAGCACACACGTACAGAGTAACAGAGTACGATGTGTTACAGATTTTATAATGAATTATATTCGTTCTCTCGTATAATAAATGAGTTTCTTCATTGTTTTGTATAAAGGTAATTGCGCTTACGCACGTATTTACGGCAAACATGCGTTTAATCACGCGGACTACTTTAAAAGAAACGTTTGAGAAGTAATAATTAATAATAGTAATTAATAAAAAAAAAAAGAGGAAAGATAAAAACATGCTCGAACTCGTCTATCTGTATAATCAAAGGAAATAATCATTTCCCTATGCAAATTATTGTAGAATATTCTTTTTATAAAACAAATCAAATAAAAAGACGCAAAGAGCCGATAATATAACAAAACCAAACTTAATTCTTTTTATAAATTTTACTACCTATTTGTTAATTTTAATAAACATATTTCCCCTCTAATAATTCATCCGTTAATTATTTATATAAACTGTTTATACAAAGATCTTACAATGATAAATAAGGTGAATATTTATTCGACTTCAACAGATCTCAACTGTATAATTGATACGCAATTAAGAAAGAAAATATTAACTGTGAATATATTTTCTAAATTAATTCTCAAAGTACATGACTGCGGAAACAATATTCTATTCGTAATATTCTGGCTTTATCGTTGCGAGAAGTCTCTTCGCATATCTTCGAATGATCTTATAAACGATTTGAATTCCTATCTTCCTCTCTTATTCCCACATCGGACGTAGTTGTGTTACGGCCGGAGGCTGCTCCGTTTGTCCATTTGCACAACTAATCACCGTTTTCCGTATTACGTCCGAGAAGTAATAATGAGAATCCTCTCACAGTCGCGTATAGGTGGGACGCGCCCGAGATCGCATTGTTATTCGTAACGCATATGATGCATCCTCTCTAACCGTTCCACTTTTCTCGGTTTTATTTTGCACATACGGTTGTCTCTTCACCTTTTCCTTGAACCGTGCAAAACGGTGAGGTTTCACCGGACCAGAAAGAATGATACGCAAAGTTCCTCCTTGTTTTTTTTTTTTTTTTTTTTTTTTGGTTCTCACGACGATTCCCTCATTCTTATTTTCTGGCGTCGCTCATGATTTCTCCATTCAACCTTTCATCGCACCCGACATAGAAAGTGTTTGCAAGTTTGTCGTTCAATTGCGCTATTCTGCCGTTTCTGTCATCTCTTTGAGCGATTCGAGACGCTGCTTTTCTCATCGATTGAATAAGAAACGAGGAAATCAAATGAACCTCGCGATCCCGCGACATAAAAGATATAAGAAAACGTTTGTACATTTGTTACGGTTAATGATTTTATTCAATTATCTGCGCCTTAACCGTGAAAATATTTTACGACTTTTACATGGCATTTTTTCAATAATAGGAGAGAAAATCGATTTCGAGTTCTTTATAAGTTTTCTTCATAGAAACAGTGTAATCTTCATTAGATTGCATGAAAGACAAGATGTCATTTTACAAAATTGAACTATTGGATAGAAATAGGTATAACTGATTCGGAGATAACATAATTCTTCCGCTTCCACGTTTTATCTCTAATACGGAAAAATTCTATTTTATTCACAGATTGTCGTAGAATTCTGTATAGGTAAATGTAATTGCATTTACACAATATTCTTCAAGTATCATAAAGTATTAATTGTAAAATATAACTACATGCAAAATTACAAGAAATTTAATCTAAAATTTCTGCAAATCGTTTACACAAGTATGTTGCAGATCTATTTAGAATAAATTCATGTGAAATATTTAGATATAAAGTAAAACGCAAAATATTAACTTTCACCAGTTCGTATTGGATACCTAACAAATGGAAACGATATCTCACGACCAAGGAGGCAAATGCCATTTCGCATCTTAAGAATCGTAGCTGTCTGTTGATCATCCCACAAAGAGCATTGCTTTCTCAAGGAATATCTTCTAAGCACTCACTCAGGTATCTCGAAAATGTTGGACGGCGGTCTACTATAACGTTTCATATTTGCTTGTTTACCCTCGACGATCAGACAATTTGACGATGAAGCGATTCTCGCATTCCTTTTGCCAGCCATGAAATATCAAAGAATTATAACCTATTATACAAAACATAAATCAATCTTGACTCTAGAACGTCTGAAATAAGTTCCTTTTATCATCTAGACACTTATACGTTTTACTTAACAATTTTATACGGTTGAAAATAACAATACATTATTATCTCTGAGAGAAGAATGCCAAGATAATATTATATATATAATATTTTAAAAAATGTTTCGAAATAAACATACAGTAGGGAGATACAAATTGTTAGACTAGAATATCTAAATATGTAAATAAAAATGATCTTGATTATGTATACATGAATAAAATATTTTGAAAATAAATATTAGGGTATTTCGGGGGTGTTGTGTGACGAAATAAAAGTTGTTCATAAAGTTAAAAACGATATACCGCTATGGTTATTGCAACAACACGACATCCTTGATCTAATTCTTCTCACGTCACGTAATGTCATGTCACGTCATAACAATTTGCCATTTTCCTAGACTGCATTTTCCCTGCATTGCGCACACATTTATTCGTATATTTAATATGTATACACATTCTAGGGGATGCATTTTTCTTTATATTAAACTTCAATTATTTCGACGTTGATAAAAT